CTTAGTTACTACTTCGATTTCGTTCATTTTTCCGCACATTTCACTCTTTATCAAATGGATTTATCTTCCGCCACCGTAAACGTAAACGGAATGGATTTTCTCTCTATCGCATAAAACCAGATCTTAGTTACTACTTCGATTTCGTTCATTTTTCCGCACATTTCACTCTTTATCAAATGGATTTATCTTCCGCCACCGTAAACGTAAACGGAATGGATTTTCCCTCTGTCGCACAAAACCAGACCTTACTTCGTTATTGCTTCGAGTTAAAAAATCCGATTAATGGAAAACTTGGAAAAGAAAGATAAAGCTGAAACATTTCGCCACATATCAACCCCATTTATCTTCCGGTTACTGTAAACGTAAATGGAATGAATTTTTAGAAGAAAATTAACTTCTCTTTCTCACAAAAATCGTACCTGATTTAGTAATTACATCCATCTGGTTCATTCCTCCCATTTCGCCGTTTACTAGCCGAATTTATCTTCGGGTTACTGTAAATAACAAACAGAATGGGTTTTCTTTCTCTCTTCCGCTCTCTCTCTCTCCCATAAAAATCTTATTTTGAAATTTCCTATTTCGAAACTACAACCGATTAGCAAAAATGAACTCTATTGATTACTTCAGGTTGAAGATATTTATCATTGAAAAGTTAGAAAGGAAAGATGAAAGGAAATTGGGGAAAATACCATTTGCCATTTTAGGAAATTTAATCTTCTCTTTTTTTTCTTTTCAAAAAATTATTTTGTCTTTTATTTAATTTATTTATGCAAAAAAAAAAAAACTGTTCACATTACTGTAACATTTTTATAACAAATTTTTTTTCTTTTCTTTTTTTTAATTTTTCATTTTATCATTATTATTTGCATTTCAATTCATTTTTGTAATCAATAATTTTTATTAAATTAATTAGCATCATATCATTTCTAAAATAAATGGTTTAAAAGGATGAAATTGATTATGTTGAAGTGAAATGGTTATAGGAAAGATTTGCAAAATCTTTTTGATGAAATGATCAAAATTCAATCTTTCCACTTTAGCTAAATTGATTAAATTATCTGCAATCCCTTTTTTGCATTTTCATGATGATGATGTTTTAGCATTTCGTGTTATCAAATTAGAGCTTGTAGAAAAAGTATGACATTGCCCATTGAATATGTAAAAGTGAAAGATTATTTCCGAAAAAGCAAAAATCATAGCAATGCTAGGAGCAAAAAATCAAAGATCGAATAAAGTTTTGATAAAATTTATTTTTGTTTTGTTAGTTTTCCAAATGGTTAACTATTTATCATTCAATGCTACAAGTTATATCACCATTTTTAATAATAAATGATTGATAATTGAGTTATTTATTTTAGTTATTTTTTGTTCAAATTATAAAAATGCATTTATTTTTGGCTTATTTCATTTTTGATAAGATAAATGATTGCGAAAATATTACAAACTTTATCAAAATTTAAATTCGATTTAAACAATGGTAAAGTACAGGAAAATTACTCGAACTGTTGTTGTTGCTGTTGTTGTTGTTGTTGTTGATGTTTTTGTTATCGTTATCGTTATTGTTTTTGCTGTTTTTGTCATTGTTGTTTTTGTTGTCATTGTTGTTGTTGGTTTTGTTGTCGTTATCTTGTTTTTGTTGTTATTCCTGTCATTGATGATGTCGTTTTTGTTGTTGTTATTGTTTTTCTTGTTATTATTGTTGATGATGTAGTTGTTTTTGTTGTTGTTGTCGTTGATGATATAATTGTTGTTGTTGTTCTTGTTGTTATTGTCGTTGATAATGTCGTTATTGTTTTTGTTATCATTATCGTTGCCGGTTTAGTTATTTTTTTTTTTTTTGTTGTCGTTGTTGTTACTGCTATTGCTGCTATTACTGTCGTTATTGTGGTTATTGTTGTTGTGAGAGATGGAGTGGAAAAAAGAACTGCATGTAATTTTAATTAACAAAAAATACCATAAAATTTGCATATCTTAAAATTTTCATATTTAATTTTTTACTTAGACATTAAATGATATTTCAGTAATAATGGCATATTTAAATACGGTTAAAGTTTAAAATTTTAACAAAAATTCTTATCCTCCAATTTCCTTTCCTATTCAATTTTTTTTTTTTTTGCTTTGATAACAAATGAGTTAAATTCAAAATTTGTTATCATTTTAGCTAAAAATTTAGCCCATAATTTTTTGAAATATTCAATGGAATTCATTTATTAAAATGAAATTTTTAAAGAAAATTTCAATATTTTCCTCATTTCTTATCCATATATCCACTATTATCAGCATCAAAAATAAGCTTTAATTATCAATTATCTGCAGTGCTATCTTAAAAGTTCCATTCTTTCCTTTTTTTTTTTTTTTGAAAGAATTTAATAACACTTACCGAAATAAACTTCAATTATTTACAACTTTTAAAATAAACTTAACTCATCCATAAAACTTATTTTTTATTTTCATTTCAATTTAAAAAAAAAAAAAAAAGAAAAGAAAGGAAAAAAGATTTCATACATTTATTGGAATTAATTAAAAGACAAAATCGATATTTTGTATAAAATTTTCATTGAAAATAAGGTAAAGACGAAGTAAAAAAGATTATTTTTCAATGGATAAATCAATATATATATATATATATATATTCTAATTGCTATTACATATTCATAAATTAATTATATTAATTCTATTCGAAAGGTAGCAATTACATTCCAAAATTTATTTATTATTTCCAAATATTTTTTAATTTCAATTATATTTGAAAATAAAAATAAATGAAAGAAAAATTAGCAATCATTTTTTGTTTATTTCTTTTTTTTTTTACTTCTTCAAAAGAAAAAAAAATAATTTATTTATCAAATATTACTAAAAGTAAACAATGCATGTTTAGTACATCATTTTCGTCCCATTTTTTTTTTTTTTTTTTTATTCATTCATAAAATATGAATAAATTGCCGAAATTAATTAACTAAATTAGCAATATTTGCTTAAATAATTGCATAATTTCCATTTTATCAATTTTTTTTTTTTCATTCTTTTCATATTTTCTTAAATCTTTAAAAGATGACAAAAAAAAAAAAAAAAATTGCTTTACCTTTTTTTTTTTCTTTTTTGCTGCTTTTTTTTTTTTACATTTTGTTTTGTCATTCATATGAACAAATGTTATTGTCACATTCTTTTTTTTTCCAAATTTGTCATCAAACAATACGAATGAATAAAATTTATCAAATATTTCATGAATGTTTTCGCTTCATTTATTTGTTTTATTCATTTTTATTTTTTATTTTCCTTTTTCCTTAAATAATATATATATATTTGAAAGTTAATTTTGGATATTTTTATTGATTCGTTTCATTCTTGCTTGATTTATTATTTTGAAAAAGTAAAAAAAAGAAAATAAACGGAATCAAATGATTGAAATCTTTTGGGATTATAAAATTTTTCAAATTTTTTTATTCAAATGGAACATTTTTTTTTTTTAATAGCTATAGGCAAATTTTTGTCCCATTTGTCATCAATTTTGATAAAGCATTCAAAAACATTGTCATTTGAGCAATTGAAATTAGGTAATAATAATGTCATATCAAGAAATTTGAATAATCAATAAAATGTATGGAAACATTCAAAGCTATTTATAGTATAGGGTTAGTTTTCGGGTTCAAAGTATGGTATAGGTTAATTTTCAGATTGAAAACATAGTATGAGTTAATCTTAAGATTAAAAACATAGTAAAGGTCAGTTTTTAGATTGAAAAAACACTGTGGGTCAGTTTTTGGGCTGATATTACGGGTCAATTTTCAAATTAAAAAAATGGTATGGGTCAGTTTTTAGATCGAAAAAACAGTGTTGGCCAGTTTTTAAATTAAAAAAAAAACAGTATGGGTCAGTTTTTAGATTGAAACATATTACGGGTCAATTTTCAAAACAAGGCATGAACCAATTCTCAGGTTAAAAAAAATGGATGGGTCAGTTTTAGACAAAAAACATAGCATAGATCAGTTCACAGATTTAAAGCATAGTGCAGGTCAATTCACAGATTTAAAACATAGTGCAGGTCGATTCACAGATTTAAAGCATAGTGCAGGTCAACTCACAGATTTAAAACAAAGTGCAGGTCAACTCACAGATTTAAAAGCATAGTGCAGGTCAATTC